ACGACTGCTCAGTGACACCTGTTGAAGCCTCCTCATCACCAGCACACTCCTCTCAGCGCCTCCCTCCTCCCACATCCTCCTGTTTTTTAATAAAAGCTCCGGCCAATTATGTTTTTCTGGTGACGCACATAGACCAGAGCCTGAATGACTTCCTGGCTGCAACTATCTGGTGGTGAAACCGACAAACAAATCCAACATTTGTGACCAATTATTGCACATGCACAGCAAGTGAACAAGGTGGAAATGAAAAGCTTTGGGTTCGTAGCTGAGATGTTTGGATACAAGCGACACGACTTGTTCTCGATGTCGCTGCTCGTTGTGGGACAGACTAAAGCTACCGGGTTTGGATGTGCCTCCAGAACCGTGTGCCTGATCATCAAGTGTAATTGGTTCAGTGCTTCAAAAGAGAGCAGAAACAAAAAGGCTCATCACAGCTGCACAGCTCATTTCATCTCATTCACTTCTCGTCTTGTGAATCTTTTCATATATCAAAATATATTCAAGGTCATGCCAAGAGGAATGAAACAGGAGAGCAGGAGCAGCATTGAACCTCAATAAGAGAAGCTCCGGGTGTGACATTACTGCCAGAAGAGATCTGGCAGCGTGAATATGTCCAGTGAACGAAGGGGTGAGTGAAAGAGTGAGTCTGGCCGATGGCTGAGCGTGGGCAGGTGGGCTGGACCTGAGCAGACCAGTAGCTCCACATAGAGCTGCTCGGCCTTCATAGAGAGCGCACACTGACAAGAAGAGCCCAGGTTTGTGTTTCTACTGTGCTTATCTGCTGGTCTTCTTCCTGACCTGTTTCCATTTGTCTCTTCTGAATGTTTTGGGGATATGACTCGAGGGTGTGAGGACAGACGGTGTCTGTAGCCGCCTGAGGCACATCTATCATCTGTGATACCATATTACTATATGAACATGTGTTGATGTGACATGGGTCGGGGTAAACGTGTTTAGTCTGATTAGCTTTTCATTAAAACTTAAAAGCAGAGAGCATTTCTTGAGTTTTAGAGACAGCAGTGAGAACACACGGCTGATCAGGACAGAAACTAAAACCTCTCCTTCTGGGACTTCAGGATGAATTAAGTTTGATCTTATTTTAAGACTACGCTCCAAATTCTAGGGTCCAAAATGACAGTGGCAACAATCATGCATTTACAAGAGGAGAAAGGTTATAAAATCATATTACTGGTTATTTGGGCAAGACTGGTTACCTGTCCAGGTGAACCTGCCTTCACCCTGAGTCAGCTGGGATAGGCTCCACCCCCCACCACCCTAGTGAGGGTTAAGGTGGATAGATAGTGGATGGATGGATGGTTATTTGGACATAAATAGCGCTCTGTGTAGTTTCTGTAAAACGCCACAAGGTGTCACTGTGGCGCCACAGACCCCAGCGCTGACGGACTGCAGTGTGCTACGGCTGCAGGTTACGTTCCAGCATGATGCACCCAAACACAGGCCAAATACTTCCACTCCCTGTGCATTTCATAGACTGTGCATTTCTCTCCACGGTCATCATTATCCATCATCCCTCTGCATGTGAACGCACAGAGGACACCATTTCCACGTGCCCTGTTTCTGAGTTATTTGGCTGAAATGCCACAAGCAGCAGAGGTGTCAAGCAAATGGCAGAAACTCAGATTCCCAGGATGGTGAATAGTGATGATGATGATGCAAATGGAGAAGGCGTGATGCAGCAGTCAGTCAGCCGAGCAGAGCACAGTTCGGATGGATGCAAATTAATCTGGTCTTTATATTTTTAGTCACCCCCCCTCGGCACAGCATCTCATCATTGCTTCGGTTGTGCCTGCTGTGGGTTGATAACGGTCTCTATTGTCTGTCTGTAGAGCACTTGGAGGAGAAGTAAGGTTGCACCATTTACGAGCGTTTCACTCGGGAGCCTGCAGGTCTTGGACAAAAAGCTTTTCTGTAGGTTCTTCATGTATACTTGGACTTTTTGTCCGTGTTTGGTGGTCACATCTCGGACCTGATACCAATACTACTTTCAATGACTGATCTGTAAATGGGACTGATCCAATCTCCTCCCATTCCAGGCTTTTGGGGAAAGAATCTACAAAACCAGACTGACTCGCTGTCCACCTGTCCCACATGCACAGAAACGATGCTGAGGACAGCCGTGGCAGAATGACAGCACCACAGTGTGTCTGCAGACGATGCAGCTCCAGTGGGAGCCTTAGCTGCTGATTATCACTACGTATTGTGTTTATGTGTTGAGCTCTGAGCTTCCCAATGCTTCCAGCTCAGCCCTGTCTGACCCTAACTGCCCATGACAGCTGCTGCCTGTTGTGGAGAACCACAGGCCCGTGTTCTTCGACCCATTTCCACTGTTGAGCATCCACATCCATAAAGGACTGAATGGGAGTTAGTACTACAGAGAGCGAACAAAGACGTGCATATCTGCAGCTAAAGGCTGCATATCGTGAAATCTCTTCTTCTCTCAGCTAATGGGATTCTTGGTCGGACTAAAGTCTCCGAATGATGACGGTTTAAAGGCACGAGGAGCCTCCCCATTAGGAAGCTTGAGTCGTCTTAGAATAAAAGCATCAACTGACCACTAGATGACCGATACAGAAACCTTTGGGCATCGTAACAGAACCAAAAACAATGAGTGTAAACAATGAATGTAGAGAAGGTGAGACTACAGGAAGCTGCTGAACTGCACATCAGCTGTTTTTCTTTCTGCGTATTCAGAGCTCACGACAGCAGATCACAATAAAGCGTCCTGCTCACTCACACAACATAACTAAAGTAGCCTTTCTTGGTGCGCTGAACGCTGACACACTCATGAATCCAGCTGTCTGTGTCTCCATCCAAAGCTACACTCTGAGCTGTCCAGAACGTTACAGCAACGTTTCAGCTGTGCTGCCGTTCGCTGCCTCGTCACTGAGGGTTAACATTCACAATCGAACGTGGCTGTTTCAATGATAAACACAGACAAACAAAGAAGAGGAACGAGCTCCAGAGTTTTGGTCACATCTCTGTGGAGCGCTGCTGCCCCAGGAGGCCGATCAGCTGCCATGTCCTCCTGGCCATGTGGTCATGGACTCTTACATCCTTCATACTTGGATTATTGGCAAACCCTCAGCCCAGGACAATATCACTCTGTTCACCCTGTTTTATTATAACTGCAGCATCTCAAACATTGTGGGATTTTTATTTTATTTTTTAACCAAAATAACTCTAAAATGCAAACTTCTAAATATTCTACATTCATCACATGTGCAGGGAAATGCTCCAACCCATGATGATAGCTATGGCTCGTAGGGTTCGGGTTAACCCCGTACAGCTCATGATCATCATTTTGGAGCTGCACCGGGACCTTCATCCTTTGATTCTTCTGATCGGTGCTGGTAACGGCTGACATGCAGGACGGGGCAGCTGGAGGTGAACAGGTGAGCAGCAGAGAACGTCATGAAACATGTGATGCATCTGAGTCTTGTTGGACTCTGTGTGTTACCTGATGCGGCACGAGGCCCAGAGAAGTGGGAGGCTCATTCATTCTGTCTTCACTGCTGCTGGCAACTGCATAGCCTCTGGAGAAGGAAAAAGATTCACAGACTTAAATGCTCCTGTTTCCATTTGACTTTCTGCACAAGAATGCTGCCATCACTCCTAGAACAACACACACATCAACACATGCTGATGAACTTTACGCACAAAGCAGATCTATGCTCCAAATGGGAAAGTACTGAGACCTGAGAGCTCACGTCAGCGTTAAGAGGTTTTACATTTTTCATGAGATCTGGGAATGCTGCTCAACATTTACTCTCTGTGGATAACAATAACCAAAACATCACATCTCACGCTGAGCTGACTGGTTCCGCAAAGTCAGAAGTCTGTCAAACTGCTGCAACATTAATCCCTATGTGCCAATTTCCTAAAGCCCATGATGGTTACAAAGCAAGATTCCTTATGAAAGCTGGTGTACGGGACTTTAAGGGATAAAGAGATGGAGGAAGAAGGGTGTGAGGAGGGAGGAACAACAGCTATGCAGCGAGAAACAAGGACACACAGGGACCGACGCAACAGACGAGATCTCAGCGTAAAGGAACCATAAAGTAACGAGAGCACACAGAAACCCTCCTTTGCTCTCGAAGCTTTTTATCCTGGACAGAAAGAACGGCTCTGCAACAGCTTACAGCGTCTGCAAACATTCTGCAGGAAAACTGCCGTCTTATCAGCACGCGTCCACTGGAGTGTGGTTTTCACAGCAAAGGCACACGTTTAAAAAGACGCACACGAACACACACTGAACGGGCATTAAGCATCAGTGTTTAGAAAGAAACACGTTGTAGGACTTTGTGAGCTAACAGCTGGTGAAGTGAACTGCACCACATCACCAACACTACCTGCAGCACAGCGCTGCTCCATCAAAAACACAACATGTGCCTTCGTTGAAAGCCTGGACGGAGGTGGAATGAGGCTCTTAGGAGAGGCCCTCAGACAGCTGCTGCTGATCCGGGCTGCTCACGGTGGAGAAGAGCATCTAAGCACTCGGGATACTTACAGGGCGTTTCACTGGCTTCAGACTGGAGTGTGGAGTCAGTCAGACAGAAGAAGGCAATGTGACATGCAGCCTTTCCTATTATCAAACGGAGAGGGCATGTTTTCAGCACCATGCTGGGGCAGGTTTAACGAGTGGACTTGTTACGCTGCACAGATGAACCAGCAGCTACCAGGGCTCATCCAGAGGACCTGCTGCTGTCAGCCCCACATTATCAGGAGCTCTCAAGCAATGATGGTGGAGCTGCAGCTGTCTGGTGCACCGCTGTGTATATGTACACATTTGTGGACTGTTGTGTATTCTCAAGCAGTTTATAATACCCGGAAATAGCTTTTGGTGCCAGAAGTGTTTGACGTCTGGTGCTAGCCGTGGGTCCTGAATGTAGCTGTAGCTGCTCCTACCCGGCTACGCTTCTATCCACGCACCGGGAAAGTCCGACTGAGGATCACTATCTACAGTCATGCTTTCATCATGACATAAAACTGAATATGTGCATTTAAGAGCAATGTTAAACTGTCAGCAAAGGTGTTGAAAAGGAGGACCGTAAACTAGTTCAGTGCACTATCTGCATTGTCCAACCAAACTAAAGGTTTTGTCTTCGTGCAACGCCGTCACTTCAGACCTTTGTAAAGCATTTCAGTCATCAGAGAAGTTCTTTAACTCACTTTAAATAGCTGGCATCTCCAACACCTACCTCGGCTTTGGTATAAATTTCTAGCAAGCCCACACTGTGTATTTGAAACATCTGTTCCTCTCTGTCCTCTGAATGCTCGGCCAGATCAGTATTATGACGACAGCAGCGCCTAATGACGAGGCTACGTGACTTCATCATGCTCACCCTTCACTGTGCTGCAGAATGGACACCATCATCTCAACAGCCAGGGCTCCGGCGATCATGGCGAGGCCTGGTCGGCTGACCGTGCACTGCTGATCCAGGGTCCGATCCCTGGTGGACTGTTTACGACAAATTACAACAGTGGAGTTAACAACAGGAAACAGAAAAACCATAGTGGCATCAATATAAGGAGTCCGTCCGTCCATCCATCATCTCTGCACCTTAATCCTCACCAGGGTCATGGGGGCGGAGTCTATCCCAGCTGACTCAGGGTGAAGGCAGGTTCACCTGGACAGGTAACCAGTCTATCACAGGGCTACACTTAGAGACAGACAACCAAGCACACTCACATTCACACCTACGGACAATTTACAATCACCAATTAACCTCAGCATGTTTCTGGACTGTGGGAGGAAGCCGGAGAACCCGGAGAGAACCCACGCTGCACGGGGAGAACATGGAGACTCCACGCAGGAAGATCCCGGGTGTCCTCACCGGGACGCCAACCGGCGACCTTCTAGCTGTGAGGCCACGGTGCTAAACACCGAGACGCCGTGCAGCACAATATAAGGAGTCACATCCTAAAAAACACTGCAAACCCAGAATCAATCTGCTAAACCTGAGAGGTTTTCCTCTGAATGAGGAGAGCAGACTGACAGCACACTGACTGACGGAGTCCTTCTAGGCTTTTAATAATGCCACAGTACTTTCATCAAGTAGGAACATGATGTGGCTCTGTCAATAGCTGGTGACTTCTGGCCCAATGTCAGCTGGAAGGGCTCGTGCCCACCCGTGCCCCTGTAGAAGGACAAGTGATACAGCTAATGGATGGCTGGACGGACCATTAGCATCTGTACCAGACTGCAGACACTACAGAACTGGGTCAGCACGGAGCAGGAGGACCTGTGAACTTATGAGATCCACAGAGTCATACAAGGAGCATGGCTACAAAAATCTGAAGTGGAATCATCACAGTCAAACAATAACCTTGTTCAAGAACTATGCTACGGCTTCACATCCTCAGCAGTCTTCACGTGGTGTGACACGTAGTGAGACAATCTGTCGTAGCTTCTAGCTTCAGGCAGTGGAAAATGAACAAAAGCCCCTTAGACCCTCATTAACATCTTTCTATTTACTTGTTCTCCAAACCCAGACCTGCATTTAAATTTAGATTTTAGCACGAGCAGGCTGTAATCTGTGGCCTTTACGGGACAAGTCAGAGCTGAATGGAGCAAGCTTCCAAGCCCTGGCTGTGGCCTTTAATGGCTGATGAACAGTATTCAGACATCACACCAATCAGAAGGTCACAAGGGAGGAGAAGATCAAAAAGATCAACAGTCTCAGCGTGCGGGTGGTGAGAAAAGTGTGATTTTCACAGTGGAAAGGTTGTGTCGGGTGTTTCTTCCCTTCTTACACTGAACAAAAATACCACACTTGTGTTGTTGCTCAGTGTCCATAGAAAAGTCCAGAGCTTTGAGTTCAGCTCATGAACGGAAGTGTTTACGTTTCTGTTCAGTGGATAAACGTGACGCTACACACGGATGCAGGTGAAAATGCTTAAAAGAACAATTCTTCCTAGAAAATGTGGAAATAACCACAATCACTGGGCTGAAGCCTACATCACCAGATGTTTGATGGTTTGGGGGCAGAAGACCCAGACTAAGCTTTAAACACAACCATCACTGATTTCACAGAGCAACATTCATTTGGAGTCATTTTTTCATCAACTCAACACATTTCCAATCCTGGATGTCTTTTGTCCTACAAGCTACCAAGAGTTGGAGGAAACATCTCAGTCAATCCGACTTGTGTATTTATTCCTACATGTTTCCATCGTCACGTCTGTAATGAGTGCACTAAGTGAGCTAAGAGTGAAATGCTAGTTTTGTGTGTGTCCCTCACATCTCCCGGCGCCACCACGTCGTTGCAGAAGTAGCAGCCCAGCTTGTGTCCAGGGATGTTGGAGAACAGAGAGGATCCTGGGACGGAGGGCGCCGAGCCAGCCGGCGTGGAGGACGAGGAGGAGGCAGAGGAACAAGACGGGGAGGAGTCGGCTGCCGTGGAAACGCTCTGAGTGACGGGAGGTTTCTTGAGGCCGTGGCGCATCACAACAAATGTGTCAAAGCCCAGGGCAGCATTCACCACGAGCTGACAAGAGAAAGACGACAATTATGGTGAATTGTTGTAATAAAAGGGTTTCACAAAGCAGCGGAAAGAAAAGCTTTTCAGGCGCTTTGGTTTGATCAGGGACATCTGATGTTTCTCCTGAATACACAGCACATTAAGCAAATCACATTAACTAAATGGCTGTTCACAGACAATGTGTTCGATCGCTTCAAAAAGCAACGACATAGAACATTAATAGGTCCTTTAAAATGCTGAAAGCTCCAGACTTTTGGAGAGGCGGTTAAAATAAATTGTGAAGCCAATTAGCACCAAAGTCGTCTAAAACAGCCTCACAGCACAAATGGCCAGATGACCTCTCAGCTCTGCTGGCCATCAAGAAAACCTAATCAGCAGCCCAAAAAACACACTTAACTGCATGAAGCAACACTGGAGTTGGATCAGAGTTACCACTGGAGGCTTTACAAGTTCCTGTCACAGCACTCAAGAAGCCTAATGTTGCCTGGCAACCAACAAAATGAGAAACTGGTAAACAGAAGATGTGGCCAACGATATCAAGCACTTTCAGCTTCCTGGAAGAGAAGTGAAAGAGCTCCCCAATGTCTCAGATTACAGCTTAAAGTCAGTAAAACAAGAATGATGTGAAGAAGTTCTTGACGTCTCCTGCCTCAGAGCTGCACAGCGGCTCCAGGTGAAAGCAACCTTCTGTTCAGACAGACAGACCCACTGCCTCGGCTTCAGCTGAGTGCCACCACTGGAACAACGTACGACAACCTGCTGCTGTGAGTGTGTTTGTGGCCTCACTGTCATACGACAGAGCAAACGAGGACATAACGGTGTTTAAGACGGCATTGGTTGAATCCGTGTGTTCTGTACAGTACAAAGTAAAAACACACATTAAGAGGGGTTGGAATCCCTCTGAGTCAGCTGGATAGGCTGGCTACCTGTCCAGGTGAACCTGCCTTCACCCTGAGTCAGCGGGACAGGCTCCACCCCCTGACCCCAGTGAGGATTTAGGGGTGTATAGATGATGGATGGGTTGAATCAGGTGAGAGTTTCTAATCACTATGTTAGCTTCTTCCAACAACAGTGTTTGAATTTCCCACCTCTGCACACTGTCATCATGGCCCAGAGGAGCCAGTTCAGCAACAGGCTGCTCCTCCCCAGGTCCAAAACCAACAGGACCAGAAACTCCATCAAACTGTTCAGCTCTGAGCTCGGGGGGAGGAGCAGCAAGGGGGGAGAGGTGGGGAGTGAGGGGTGAGGAGTGAGGACATCGGGGTGAGACAGAGCATCATGCTCCATCACCGGACTGTGTGCAATATGTTACTGTATCCGGTGTTGTTATTATTACTATTGTTGTTGTTACTATTGTTGCTGATGTTGTGTTGTTGTTGTTTTCCAGTACAACAATTTCCCTGAGGTTTGCACCAAAGCGATCAATAAAGTTCGATTCTATTCTATTCTTGTGGTCAACAGAAGTCCCCAACCAGCTCGGGCGCCTGATACATCACCACCTTGTAGGGACGTTCCAGCTCGTAGTCTAAAACAGCTACCCACTGAAACATCCAAAACATGAAACAACAACAGCTGTATTTGATGAGTCCAAGTTGAATATCTCGCTTTGCTTCGGTCTCTCCCAGCTCCAAATACATCCACACCTGTTGCTCACCTTCTCTGTGTGCTATTTGGTGCGTGGAGGTGGACGGTGGAGGGTTCTGCTGAAAACTAGTGTCTCATCAGCGGCTTCAAAACGGCTCCATGAGAGTGGTGACAAAAAAGGAGCTAAACTGAATCAAAGAGCTTCACAGAGCTGCAGAGCTGATGTGAGTACATCACTGCAGGCGTCTACTTTCACACCGTGATGATGTCACTCATACGTACAGAAATGTAATGCTGGCCTTAACCCCGACTGTTCTGTTCATTGGTCACACAATGTGGCTCCTTCTTACCTTCCTCTTGCTGGCAGCGATCACTGTAGGCAGCCAGCGGCTCTCCCTCGTATCCATCAGCAAAAACACCACATCATGCTCTGAAATAAGTTTCTCCAGCTGCTCCACGTCCTTCTGGGCCTGTGATAGAGTCGTCTGAGAGAAGTTCACCGGGTGTCCAGGCATAGGGATGCTCATATTGTAACCCTCTGCGTTCTGCAGACAGGAGGAAGAGAGACAACGTCAGCGAGGAAGAAAACAAGCAGGCACTGCTTCCAAATGGAGCCCTTAGAGCAGGGGTCTCAAACTCTGGTCCTCGAGGGCCACAGTCCTGCATGTTTTAGATGTGTCCCTCTTCCAACACACCTGATTCACATGATCAGGATGGTTATCAGGCTTCTGCAGAGCTTGATGATGAGCTGATCATCTGAATCAGGTGTGTTGGAAGAAGGAAACATCTAAAACATGCAGGACTGTGGCCCTCGAGGACCGGAGTTCAAGACCCCTGCCTTAGAGTAACTAAGAACTCCGGACTTCACTCATCATCTCATTATCTAATCCAGTCTTCATTTATATGCACAATGATGTTTTACAGTAAAGTTATAAAATGTTTGATTATTATTAGTCATTAGTTAGTTAGTTATAGTTATTTGTGGACATCCACATCTCACAGCTGGTGCAGCAACACATTTAATAACAACAATAATAATTATATCTACCTCTATCTGAAGCATGAGGAATATCTAAAGCAGGTGCTAGAACATGAAACATCTAAAGCCAGAAATTCAATCACCAAGAGAGCTGATAGGTTCTAGAGGGAAGCACCAGAGCCAGAGAACCGAGAAGATAAATCATCCTCAGAAAATGCTAAAGCCCTAAAACACAGGATCAAGTCCAAGATGGAACCAACGAGAGAAGAAAAGTGGAACCATAAAGCGCTGCATGGCCAGCATCCAAAGATCCTGGAGAAGCCTCATGTAGACACGATGACCACCAACAAAGGTCATCAAGTAGTCTGAGAGCAGAACCAGAGGAGCTACTGGAAGCAGCTCAAGGCCAGGCAGTACAGGAACTACCACCAAGTCAGTGGTGGAGAGCAGAACGTGTTCCCAGCATGAGGAGACAGTGGACCACATCCTGTCTGGTTGTGATGGGCTAAACAGAGAACATCTGCAGGAACAATGAAGCTGCAGCGTATCTCCACCTCCTGAAGCGTCATGACATCGAGGGTACAGACGAGTGGCGCGAGCATGAGCCGGAGACTGTGATGCCCAACAGAGACAACAACATCAGCATCAAGTGGGACCTGCCAGTCAGGACTGAGGGATTAGTAGGGCTAGGGTTAGCTATATGAGACCGTTAAAGACTCAGTGGAGTCCGTCTGATACGACTATTCCATCAGACAGAAACATCGCACTGAAAGAAATAGAAGAGAAGTGCAAGTACAAAGATCTAGAACGAGAAGAGAAGGTGGCAGACGAACTCCGACGTGGTCCCTGGTTGTTGGTGCGCTTGGTCCAAAAAAGAAGAGGGGCGGTGGAAACATGAAGAAAGAACCAGAGAGCTACAGAGAGCCAGAAGGTCAGCAGGAGGGCATCTGCACCAGGAAGGTCCTCAGGAAGGTCCTCAGGAAGGTCCTCAGTATAGGAACAGAGCAACGAGCTGATGACTGATGGGATGCTGCAGGGTTCACACCCGGCTGAGGCACAAAAAGAACAGCAGCAAGGACTGTGACAGAGGAGATAATAATAATAATAATAATAAGAAGAAGAAGAAGAAGAAGAAGAAGAAGAATTAAAGCTGCAAGCAGCGTTGGTCGGGTCCTCGGTCTGCGTTGGACCCTCATGCCCGTCTGACATCCATTTTGACACTTTATTCAACTTCACTACACTTTGACCGACTCATAGGCAATTTTCATAGTGTTGCTATCTGCTACCATTTCAGAGGTATGGAGCTTGAAGGTGAAGGAGCCATTTTTCCGTCTCTGCTCAGCCTCAGACTGTCAGTGAGTCACATGACCAGCTGCACTGAGCAGCCAATCAGCATTAAAGCTGCAGGTGATGATGTCATCGTTCTTCATGTCTGGCTGAGAGAGCTGAGAGTTTTACTCGCTTTAACTCTCCCATACAGCCACAATTTTCACCAAATGTGTGTAAAAACAGCATATTTTTGTGGGAAATCTTGTTAGGAAGCCCTCAGTGTCATTTTTAAAGCTGCAGGACCTTTAGTTTTTTGTGTCTCCTGTGCGATTTTCAAGTTGATACGATCTACGATATCACACAAGATAAGTTTTTCCCAAAAGATTTTTTCAGTCATTTTTTTACTTTGAAAGGCAAATTGTGGACTTCCTGTTTGAGATAAGTCAGGGGTATCAGCACGAGATTTGTGGGTCTCATTGAGACGAACATTTTGATGTTGGTTTGATCTCTGTACGACATTCCTACTGGCCGCTAGGGCCGTTTTAGTGTGTTTTTCTGTAACTAGGTGGCGCTACAGAGCTTTTCTTGGGTTTTTTTCTCAGTTTATCAAATTTTTTCGCCGATTCGGAGGTGTGTGCCAATTTTGGTGAGTTTTTGAGCGTGTTCAGGGGGTCAAATTAAGGGTTTCGCGTTGGTCAGGAGAATAATAAGAAGAAGAAGAAAGAAACGAAGCGGGAACAATCGGGTCCTTGACCTGCTTGCTTTGCATTAGGGGTCCTCGGACCCTAACAAAGAACCACCAGGCAGTACGGTACACATCATCCAAGGCGTCAACATAAAAAGCTTGACTTTTTCAAAGGTGCTCAGTGACTCCAATGCAGAACCATCTCAATAAAAGAATCTCGTTTTAAACTATTCTTCAGTCAAAGCATGTAATTAGACACGGAGCTGTCAGGCTACAGGACCTGAGCTATAATCAGAACACAGGATGTAATTAGAGTTACCTGCTTCCAGATTGTGTGACCAAAAGCTTTCAGGAGCTATGAAACCTCCAACAATGCTCCTTTCTGAAACCTTCCAGCCAAATACTTGTTTCTTTGTTAAAATAAATAAACATAGTGACCGCTGTGGATCCGGCTTCCCTGCATAAACCTGCAGTAACAGTCAAGAGTACAAAAGCTAGAGCTGGAATCATCATTTCAGTTCCACAAAAGTCCTTTAAAATCACGGCAAGGCAAACAGGAAGAGCCACAGCAGGCCTGTGATGGTTCAATCACTTAATGCTTTCATTGTCCATCCAGCCCTGCATCAGTGCGTCTGTCTCCAGGGACCGGGTGCTCAAAACGAGGCAAATGGAAATGTCAAGAGCAATTTCATTCTCAAGAGAAGGAGAGAAAAGGCCAAAGATAAGGTGTGAGATTTTAACAAGGAGAAATGCCATGTTTCCTGAATCAGTGGATCTTCTGCTTTCACGCTCCACATTTCGAAGTGGGAGCTGTGAGCAAAGTCTTGAATTTACATTTCACTTTGACGTAAGTGTTGCTAAGCAGTCAGAGGGTGAAGTCAGGCTGCAGAGACAGTAATCATATTCAATGTTAACTATAAACACCCATAACCTGCAGGCAAGACAGACAAAAAGTCCGTCTAACTGTGGAAAAATCCTTTCCTGAAAAGATAAACAGCATTTCATGACAATCCACCAGCACGACTGTTGATACCTTCAAGAGCTCTGACCTGGATGCTGGGCTCCGACACAAGCCAGTGCCAGAACTACACACCATCCTGTAAATGTCAGGTGATCGTATTTGTCCACAGACAAAATATGAAATCTGCTTCTGACATTTTCAACACTGTGACCTCCTTTGAACCACGTTCTGTTTGCCATTAATGCCTTTCTGTGCCTTCAGCTCTTCCTCTATCTTGGGCCGGAGCACCTGACGCCCGGTGTTTGTGGGAAAACAAGAAGGAAAGAGAGAGCAGCAGACAAACACCCCAACAGATAAACACAGGAGCAGCGATGGATGCAGCCAGTTCAAAGGGTGCACAAACAAAGCGTCTCGACGCTTCACGACAGCACAGAGACATCCATCATGCCAGATCTGGTTCTGGACTTTCTATTAGGCTCCCAGAGGACCAGGAGAGAATCAGAGAGAGACTGGATGTCAGGCTGAAGCCATGACAGCAGTTAGTGTTCATGTCTAAGTGTGCAGGAGGACTTTACAGGTCTTACTGTCTCTGCACCGTCATCCCAGCTCGCTGCAGCTGGCTTTACAAGCAACCCATCACTGAGTGGTGGCTGCAAACCTCCAAACCTTCAAATGGAGTTCAAGGCAAACCACATCCCAACCTCAGACAGCGAGTCCGATCGTCAGCTGTGATGGACGAGGGACAGGCAGGCTGAGGACAGGACAGCTCCAGCTTCATTTGTCACAACTCACAAGCTGACAGGAAGCCAACACG